TATTGTGGTGAGGAATATCGTACCTCTACATTTAGCAAAGTTACATAATGACAGTAGAAGTGAACTATCTTATATGCTTGGTGTCCAGCTTATAAAAAAGAAAGGGAATAGCACATTTTTAAGAGTTTCAGTAACCTACTGAAAAGAAAAATGATTTTAAAAATCTTTTTATTAACCTTATTCGTACGTTGCGTTTGACTATCGTATCTACACAATGTGGGGAACTCTGTGCCCCCACTTTCCAAAGAGGAAATTTACTTGTTCATCCGATCCATACGCTTTGCAAAACAGTCTGTCAAAATGATGATTCTGAAAGTTTCAAAGAGATTCCACTCTAAAAGTATTCTAAAATGTGAAGAATACAACCCCTGGGGTACAAAATGACGCCAGGCGTATGGATAGGGTTAAAGGATTAGGCAAGTGCAAACATTTGTGATCTCAATTCAAGATCTAGATTTTTCAAAAGATGAGATTTTGTCTTAAAGCAAAATACTGTCTGTGTGGTGTACAAAATAGAAACTACTTTGGATATGTTTTGATAAGTGTAGCTATGTCTATAAAAGCTTTTTATCCCTCCATCTTACAAATCCTCAATTTTATTATGGTTGGCTGGAAGGCACCATCAGTAGGTCCTGTTTCTGTTGTTTTTTTTTAACAATTGTCTGTCTTGCTTTTTCCATGAAGTAAATTACTGTTCTTGTGTCAGTATTCCTGACTTTATTCAAGCTCATATTGTTCTGTGTTGTGAACCAAAATTTGTAGGTGGTTAGCGGGTGCTCTGGTGTGGTTTTCTCCTTCTTTCTTATCTCTCCTCCTTTTTTGTGTTTGTTACTCTCTCGTAACAGCTCTAACCGTGGGCACTTATATGACCTAATTGTATTGCAAATGTCGTAAAACTTTTACTAAAACTATGAAACAGAACCAAAAATTACTGTTAGTATATGTGGGTGGTTGGCGGGTGCTCTGGTGTGGTTTGTTCCTTCTTTCCTATGAAACATCTATCGTCCTTATCTCCCCTCCTTTTTTATGTTTGTTACTCTCTTGTAACACCTCTTATTTTCTGGCGCTCATATTACCTTACGTAGTCGCGAGCGCTGTAAAACCTCTACTAAAACAAACTGTTAGTATGTTGAAATATGTGTAGTGTATACAGAAAAGCATATTTCTTTATCACAACTCTTTGATTTTAATGATTTTGTAATGTTTACTCTTCACCAGGTTGTACGAACAGCGCAGACTACTTGGGCTCCATCTTGTCATACATTGCCATTGCTTTTCCTATTTTCGTTGGGAGATACGATTATATGGAACCAGGAGAACTGGCCCAGCTTATCAGTACAGTAAGCAACACAGTTTATTAGTTCTAACACAGGGGTCATCAAACTCTGGCCCAGGAGGTCAGTATGTCTGGACCACAGCCATGCTATCACACAGAAAAACAAACTTGAAAGCTGTGTTAAAATAGCATGCTCAGGACTCAATCACCAAAATGATTTTACTTTTACCATTTACATTGAACTCTAGAGTGCAAATTAAATGTGCTTTCGTAGACTTCATAACTTCTCAGTTATCTGGTCCACTTTGGAAAAAATTTGGTGACCCCTGTTATTATAGTTTTCTTAAAGGTAAATCTCTTTTCATGTCCGTACCCTCGCAGTTAATTTAAGACTTTGCCCCCACAGGACGCCAATCAGTGAAGGTAAGAATCCATCTCTTTCCCCCTCGGGACGCTGATCGGCGGTGGTGTGATATAGCAACAAAAATGTTGCAGCAATGATCTCCTTTTTGATATACGCATTTGTTAAAGTTATAATTTCCTTTCTGAATGGTTTGTGTGGCCTATGAGGTCGAAAATGATTTTGTATACAATTAGTGTACATTAAAAAAAAATGTCTTGTTGACCTAGCATGAGTGCTGCTTTACGCCTTGATGAGAATTCGGGTGACGAATGTGCTAGATCTCATGTTTCCAGTTCCAATTCTAATTCCTTTTTTGGTGAACATGCGATCATCACAATTTTCTCAATGTGTTAAAAATTTCAAGATGGTTGGGGTATTTTTGCCGAGATACAGGTATTGTACTGATGTACCTTATCTGCATACCTGGTCTGTGAGGACAAGTGTTGTGCGCTCTGTGGGCAGTGTGGGGACAAAGTGTTAACTTATGATTTTTTTCAGTTTTTTTGTGAGTAAAATGACATTTCTTAATTCTTCAAAACTTAGGAGAATGAACTTATATTCTTTGGCATCAGTTTTATGAAATTAGTGAATGTGCATGCATATTTTAATTAAATTGTCTGTGTCTTTTCAGAATGCCTTTGTGTCTATATATTTGATCAACTGTTTCACAAAGTTGATAGACCAATCAGTTCAAATGACTGATGTAGTAGGAGCAGCTCACAGGTATGTGTAAAGTTAAGAACATTAGTTTGTCCCAGTTCACTTCTAGCAAATAATGTGTCGTGAATGAAAATAGAAATACCAAAATAAGTATAAAATATCTCTATTTAGATTACGCTATTCAGAATAAAAGTTGGACGTGAAAGATTTTGATTAGTAGTCAAATATCCTGGGGTTTTTTTTTTTTCTTTTTGCTTAAAAAAACCTTTTCATTCATTTGTTAATTATTGAAGATGTATAAACATAAAATGTTATATAATATGATACAGTGATTCCAGGTGTGGAACGTAGAAGTATATCTTTTTAACACCAACAGTTGCATGATAGTTTTCTACATTCACCTGAAATAGAATTGAGTGCTCTCTAGTTTAGAAAATAGTTTACTTTTCTATTTTTTTGTACAGCCTTCCTCTTATCCAACTTTCTTTACTGGTTTATGTAGCCTTGAACACTGAAGTTGGCATTTTCCCAAATTTTAATGCTGCTGCTGCTGTAGATAATTTTCACAACACCTACACCTGTGTACACACAGCTGTAGGCGCGTTACATAAATCCAAGTACAAAACAATAACTGAAAAAAATAATATTTGCTCATATGAATGAAGAAATGACACACATGCAAACATACACACTCACACACACACACACAGACACACACACGCTCATTTTAATTTGTCTGCTGATATAATATTTGTATCATTTTGTCTTATTTCTTGCGTTGTCTCTTTCTATCACCTCGTCTAGAATATTTGTATAATTTTGTCTTATTTTTTGCGTTATCTTTTTCTATCACCTCGCCTAGGATATTTGTATCATCTTGTGTCTTATTTCTTTCGTTATCTTTTTCTATCACGTCGTCTAGAATCGGCCAGCTGTTTGAGGAGCTGGGTCGGCTGAAGGATGAACAGAATGAAAACTACAGCTTCTTAGAGGCAACTACCAACCCGTGAGTGGTTTTATTTATTTAGTTTTGTTCTCTTATGCTTTTCCCCAAGAGCTGCCTCACTTTAGTAATATTCCCATTGGTCATGTTCGGGAAGGGGAGTGTAATAAATGGACACCAGAAATAGGTGTAACTCTTCTGATTATGAAAGTGTAAATGGATGAATGTCTAGGGTAAGAAATAATTTGTGGTGATGACTTTGGTGTGTCGCCTCTGCCTTTTTGTCTGATTCTTTCCTTTGTTCTAGCCACATTGTAAACCTTAGTCTCTGTCTGATTGTGGTGGGGGGGGGGGGGGGTGGGGGGTTGGAGGTGTTGTTGGCAGGTGCTTTGGTGTGGTGTGCTCATTCTTTCGGATCATACATCTGTCTGTCTTTCTTTTTGCCCAGAACTAATTGACTGCTATCATGTGGATGTGCTTGTCTTTACTCAACCTCCCCCCCCCCCCCCCCCC